CCCCTTGTAGCACTCCTGGTGTGAGCTATGAGGCAACATCACATGGCTCTCACCCCACAGGATTCACCTCTCAAGCAACCCCCCCCCCTTTGCAGGGAGAGTTAGAATTAAGGCAGCAGGAGCCTGGGCTCCCCCACAGCCTGGGAAGCTGCTGACCCTGCCCATCCATGAATGAGCTGCCACTAAAGGGGGAAGGGGGCACGGTAAAATGGCAGGAGTAGTGGCAGCTCATGGACAGATGTCTTCCCAGAGACCACGGCCAAGAGGTGTTTAGTATTCTGGGCTTCACAGCTCTGTCCCAGCAAGCCTGGTGCCAAGACCACTCCTCTCTCCCCCTAAACACCCAGGAACACTGGCTCGGCTCCACAGGCAACCCATCCAATAAGAAACACTGACAGATGCACTGCTCTCTAAGGACCAACACAAGCTCTCCAGGGCGGAGGAATGGGAAAAGAGCAAGGCCCCAAAATCTAATGCCAGGCCACTGGGAGGAGAGGATTACAAAATTTTCTATTATTCTGAAACAAAAAGAAATGAAGTACTGATGCATACTACAACATGGATGAGCCTTGAAAACAGGCTGAGAGTAGCAAGTCACAAAGGACTGCATATTGAATGATTCCATTTACATGAAACGTCCAGAAGAGACAAATCAAGACAAAAAAGTAGATTAGTGGTTGCTAGGGGCTGGGAGGGGATGAGGGGACTGGGGGATGATGATGATGCAGGGTTTGTTTTTGAGGTGATGAAAATGTTCTAAACTGGACTGATCATGGTGATGGATACTGAATTGTACACTTTAAATTGGTGAACTGTATGATGTGTGAATTATGTCTCAACAAAGCTGTGAAAATAAAAAAACTAACCCAAGGACCTATAGCACTTGGCAAAAGAGAAAGAAATGGAATACTGCTTGAAATTTCATAGCACACCCACAAAAGCCACGGGACCCCACTCAAAACTTTCACAATGGTTGCAGGGAGTGGAGAAGAGGGAATTATAAGATTACAACTACCTTCAGAACACTGAGTCCAACTTCCCTCCTCACCACTACCCATTTTATGGATGGAGAAACTGAGACCAGAAAAGGGAACTGCCCGAAGACATAGGACTCCAAGCCAGACTGCTCAGGCAGGGACCACTTCCTGTTATACTACTCTGCCTCCCCACTAGAGGAACCAGCAGGTTTCTATATGCCAAATGAAGGGTCTTTGCTAACAAAGACCGGTTGTTACAAAGGGTCCTAGGAAGAACCCATAGGATCCTGGGGAAACTGCAAGATAAGAATCAGCCAAGGTCTGAAGTGGGCCAGGTCAGGTATTTACACACTTGATCACCTGGGCATGTGTAGACTTTTGTGGAAAAAAAAATAACAGCAGAGTGTTTGCCTAAAGCTGTAAAGCAGCCAAGCAGGAGACCCTGGAGTTTAAACTCAGACCTGCCCAGTTCCAAAGCCCAAGCTCTTTCCACACACAACCCTATCTCCACACCATCCAATAGGCCCCCTGGCAGGCAACCTCTGAACTTATTCACAACAGCACAGATGGCCAAAGAAGTCACTGTCCACCAATCCCGAGCCTCACACCAAATAGGCCGCCTGTCCTGCACACCAAGCTTGGATAGCTGGGAGGGATCAGAGGGGCAGGAGGAGAGGAACCCAGTTCTTTCTCAAAAGACACCCACCGTTCTGTCACCTCCAGGTCCAGAGGGCTTTGGTGTGAGTTCCCTAAAATCCCAAAGCTAAGTGTCACCCCACTAGCTCCTTACCTGATCAGTGAGGAAAGAGGCCGAAAGAGCATAGGCAGAACTATTCTGGTCCATCCAGCAAAGCCCCAAAAGAGCCCAGGTGGGAACCCAGATACACTGGCTCAAGTGCCAGGTCCAGCTTCTCCACCACCTCAGCATGCATGCCCCCTTCTCAAAATGTTCTGTGAGGTCCTCAACCTGAGGACGCTTTCAAGCCATTCTTTTCATACGGTAAGACTCTTACCAAGGTAGCCATGCCTGGGAAAGGAAACCCCTGACCCTAGGGTGCCAAAAGGGCTCCTATAGGCAGTAGAGGTACAGTGACATCGGGACAGACAGGAAGCCTGAGTAGTCAGAACAAGGACCAGATTTACCATGTGTGCTCCCAATCAACAACCCCGCTCTTTTTTCCAAGGGATCTAACTGGCCTCCAGTGACATTCAGGACCAAGACTGAGGCAGCCGGAAGAATCTCTCCTCTTCTCATCCCCAGGCGGTCCCAAGTTGTCTCAAGAAGTGGGAGGACAGGAAGTCTCTCCTTTGTCATTGGGAAGGGAAGATATCATGCAACCGTGGAGCTTTACTTCCATGTTCTTATGGAGACAAGTATAAGGGAGGCATTCCCAGCCTCGGAGATGCAAAGGAGGTGTAAAGAGGTATCTTTCTAGTCACCATAGCATCACATGACTGTCTTCCTCTCTGTCTCTGGGACCAGGGATATATCACTCCCTATTACTGGGAAGGAGGAAAAGCAGACTTTACCCTAACCAGGGAGAGAATAAACAACTCCTGGCCCTGACCCTGTGGGTCCAGATGATTTATCCTGCCTGGAGTAATAATGGGTGCAAAGGCAACAAGAACGAGGGCTCAAGACAAGGCCCTGGCCCCTGTGAAGTACAGAAAGATTTACCTGAGCAAAGGGGGCGAGAGTTATGGGTGGAGAATTTCCCTGGAGTGGGGATGTCCCAAAACTCTTTCCTGTCTCTGGGAAGAAAAAAGCTTGTTGAAAGGAATTCAAGAAGCTCAGAATATTTCCCTGATCCTGAAAACGAGAAGCAAGCAGAGCTGAGTCAGGGAGAGTCTCTGAATATCTCCTAGTTCTTGAGGGGCGGCCTCGGTCCTCATGTTCCCAGTACCTGACAACCTTCTCATAAAAAGGAGGAGGAACTTCCTGGCCTGAAGATCAGGGTTTCTTATGACTGTGAAGAGCACCCACATCCTTCTGCCCAATGGGGGAGGCGTCAGGCCACACTGGGGAGGACCTCATATCCCTCTCCCTGGTGATAAAGGATTGCCAGGTTGCAGGGGGAGCCTCACACCTAAGGGGGATAGGACTCAGGCCCCTCCCTAAGCTGAAGAATATATTGTCCTTGAGGGGAAGCTTAAGACCCCTGGTAGGAGTCTCAGACTCTTTTTCCTCAGAATCCCACCTTACCTATGTCTCTAAGGAGAGTGGGCAGTTATCAGGACTTAGTTCACAAGTGGAGCGTGGTCTAAGGCTCAAGTCCCCAAGGCAGGAAATCTTACGTCCCTAAAAGGCCCCTATGACTCAGGTATACGTATGCTGTCTGAAATAAGATGACAGTCAGTATTCTTAGAGCAGGCTCAGGTCTCAGGTTCTAAGATAGGAGAGGTGTCTCATCCACCTGAGGGAAAGTTTAAACTTTTAGGGATAAAGACTCAGTGCCCTTTTCCTCCAGGACTCTATATCCATGCCCCAAAGTGAAGGGTCTCGGGAAGCAAATCTGGGGGAGGGAGTCCTGCTCCTAAGGGGTACTTCAGACCTCATCTATAGAGACACAGCAGTCACTGGGTTATGTATGGGTCTCTTGTCCTTGAGGGAAAGCTTTAGCATCCTTGGCACAATGGGTCCCAGGCCCCGGAAGGCAGACTTACATCTGTGAGGAGCCCTCAGATTCTACCTCTGGGACTCCATGCTGCCCGTGTATCTAAAGAATGGTCTCAGGCTCAAGTTCCCAAAGCAGAAATCTTACGTCCCTGACAAGCTCATGCACATACGGGGCGGGGTGTGAGGGTGTTCAGATCTATTTCAAGGGGAGAGGGGGCTATTATGTCCCCAAGATGTGTTTCAGTCCTTCATAATTGGGGCAGAAGAATCTCATACCCCTGTATGTTGGGGGGTCTCAGACTCCCAAAGAGAAAACTCAGACACCAGTCCCTGGGGAAAAAAGTATCTTAAAGACTTCACCTTGGCTGAGATTTCTGTGGGGGGATATCAGTCTCCTGAAGAGGCTTCAGACCCAGTCTCTGAAAGCCCCAGTCCTTAAGCGGGGAGATCTTAGGCTCCAGCATCCAAAACAGCGAGTCTCATTTTCTTGAAGAAAAGCTCAGGCCTGGTGGTGGTGGTGGGTGGGGTGAGGGAGAGGGGCCAAAGGTCTATCACTTAAAAGAAGCTTAAGCTCCTGGAGATTCAGACTCTTGTCACCAGGCAGTTCTCAAGACTACTGAGAGGAAGCATAAACCCTTATCACTTAGAGAATGAATCTTACATACTCTAGTAGAGTTTCTAGTCCCTGGATATCATCAGCCTTGGTCCTTGCCTCAAGGGGAAAAGAACCTTATCTCCTCAAGATAAGTCTTACATTCCTGGAGAAAAGCTCAGAATATCTATCTATCTTTCTTCAGGGGATGTATATGCATGTGTCACGCCCTTGATTCTAGAAGAGTCTCAGACCCCACTGATGAATGGTCCTGTGCTGTGTCCCCCTGAGGAGGGGGAGGGGTTTTCCAATGCAGGGTGTTTCAGACCCCTGAAAGGGTTTAGTATCTTGAGAACACTCCCTGAGGTCTCCACCTTACTTGTGTTCCCTGGAGGAGGAATCTTAGATTCTTATCTCAGAGAAAAAGAAATCTCCAGCCACTAAACACAGACTCTCCCTTGGAGTCATGAGACTCCCCTCTCAGGAGGCATGCCATTCTGCCTGTGTCTCCTGGGGGGAGGGGGGGTTTCCCACCTATTGGCCCTACAAGATGCGATCCCAGGACCTGGAAAAGATCGCAGACCCCATCTTCAAGTCCTTCGTCTTATCTGGGGCCTCTACCCTCAAGTCCGTGGGGAAAGGGAGTGGGGGAAGAGGGTGTATCACACCCCTACCACCAAAGAAAAGTGTGTCAAGATCCAGGAGAAGACATTTAATTCCCTCAGAGAGATCTTAAAACAGCCTGTCTTGGATCCCTACCCAGTCTGGGGATCCCATCCACCATACCCGCTCACCTGTCACCCCCAGCTCATACCTGCTCGACAGTGGCAGGGTCCATGGCCTCGATACGTGCTGCAGCAGCTTCATACTCGTCCTCACTGTTGTAACCTGCGCCGACCTCTTCACGCTCCGGACTGCCACCGCCAACCGCGCCAACCCCGGGGGCTTGACGCCGCCGTTTGCTGTGGCCGGGTCCTGAGCAGCAGCTGCCCACGCCCACCGTGCCGCTCACGCCAACCACCACGCCCGCCGCACCCACACCTGCCGCCGATGCACCCAGCGCGTCGCCAGGACCGCCGCCGGGACCGCCGGGGCCCCCACAAGGAGGAGGCGAGGCCTGTTGTGGCCGGGGGCC